AGAGGGGGGGGGTTGTGGGGGGGGGCATTGTGTGCATGGTGGGCACCTTTCATCTGTGGAGGCACAAACACACAATCGCACACACAGAACAAAAATGTGGTTTCTCTGACAGACTTCCAAGCTAAGTGAATTCAGTCATTTTTGTACTTGAGTTTTGAGGTTATGTTTATTAGAAACAGTGTGTGTGCCTGATCTTACATAACTGTCTTCTAGTCCTGATTAACCACTCATAAAAGTTACACTTCAACTCTCTTTGACCATTCACACCATGAATCTATGAACCCTGCTCCCAAAATATGAGCACACTCCCTTTTTTACTTTAAGAACTTTAAAGGTTATTGCAAGTGCATTACCAAATTACATATTTCACTGTTTTCCCATCAAGTACGATTACGAATGACTTTGTTCAGTCTTTAAAATCCCATTAGAGTTGACAAGATGGCGACTGAAGTCCAAAGAAATTAATTATCATCCAAATGTAATAATATACTTCATGGGTTTCTAGATCTCTAGATGTGGTAAAGACATGTACAACAATATATCCTCCATGGCTGTGTAGCAGTCAAACAGAGGGGTGTTTGGATGAACATATGACTTATATAAAAACACGTAGAAGGGAAAATCCACCAGTGAGTATATTTAAGAGAGGGACTTGTGGGGATCGGGCTCACTCTGACTTTTGTCTTCTACTGGTGGTAAACCACAGGAATTTCAGTTTGGGCTGGCTTCAAGCAGTAGGTCTTCATGTAATGTCATTTAATCAGTGGAGTGACACTCTGCTGTGCTGAGAATTAGGAATAGAAATGTTAAAAAAAAAAAAAAAAAGGCACGCAAATGAAGATCTGGGTGTCTAGTGTAAAAAAAAAAAAAAAAGGCACACAAATGAAGATCTGGGTGTCTAGCAACTTCCTGTTTCTTCTGCTTCACAGACCAGAATAGCTGTTGGGTTTATGGCTTTTCTTTTATTAAATCAGCCAAAAGTGACAGAGTGGCCTGAGTTTGTTTTTTCATTTTGAGAGGAATTAAAATTGACACTGAAGGCCCTGGTTTGTGAAGCTGACTGCACCCACATTGAAGGATGACTTTACATTTACTGTACATAACTTGGATGACTACAGCATTTCCATAACCCTTTCATAACAAGTTGACCCAATAGTATGCTGGCTTTAATATGCACATAAACACGTTCAGGACTGCGCTCTGTTTCATATTTTAAAACAAGCAGAAACGAAACACGGCATGTGCACAGCTTTACTGATGACACTCAGCTGTTTTTGCCCAACTTTCACACACCAACAGCACAACCTTTCTGTTTTAATTTTTTGAAACACCTTAGAGAGGTATCATTTAGCTAAACTGAGCATCTGACCTACAACAATTACACAGTAACTCTGTGAAACACCACATTAGCTGCAACGACTCTCTAGCCATCCTACAAGACTCCCCAGGACTTTAGAACCACACATGTCTCTGACCTGCTCGTAGTCTTTACACCTACATGTGCCCTCCACTCCTCCTCTAACGACCTTCTGATCCATCTGATGACGACCATGAATTTGACTTTTTAAGTAATCTACAGTATATTCAGTCAATCCCTGTGACCTGGTATTTTAGGCTAGTTTTATTGACCAGCGTTGATACAGCACCAGACAAAGCTACTGAACCCAGTCATGTCTTTCTTTGCAACACACATGCACACACTGTACACCTACACATATGTAACTGTTGTCAACAGCGTGTTTGTCTCTCTTCCTGTCAGCAGCCGACTGAATTGCAAAGGATGAGTTGAGACTTTTCCTCCAAAGAGGATCAGACTTCAGAGAAGATCAGCAAACTCAGGGTTTTAGAACTGCTCTCTCTCTTTCTCTCTCTGCTGTCTCACTCTCCCCACTTTATGTCTCTGTCTCTTGCCTCCCGCTCTCCCTCCCTCCTGCCCTCACTCCCTCCCTGTGCTCTAATCACTGTGTTGTGGTCATGATGCTTTCTCCTCCCTCTCTTCTCCTCTCTGAGCTGGTATATAAATGTGGATGGTTGTGCCTTCTGTCTCAAACTTGACAGAATGAATCCAGACCTGGTGGCCGCACGCTGTTGAGGGCCACATTTAACAATGAAGCTCAAAGTGAGGCTCTACATCTTCCCGTGAACTGCTTACACCCAGGTGATGCCCAGCATCTACAGGTAAGCAAGTAAGTCAGGCAAAACATTTGCCTACGAATATGTTTAGTCTTTACTGCATGTTTTGTTTAGCTGCACAAAGGATCATACACCGTATTGTGGGCCTCAGGGGAGACAGTGACAGTGTCCCTGGGTGAGCATGCTTGGTCTGGTGAAAAGAAAACAGAAGACCTTTGCCAAAATCTAAACCAACGCTTGACAGTGAAGACTTTTTTTCTTTCTCTTTTAGAAACCTGCCACACAGCAGCGCATACAAATGCTGCACATGAGCTCCACCACAACCATTAAGTTCTCATTTAAGTCGAGCAGCAGATGAGTCACCACAACTTACTGTAAACAGTCAGGAAGTGAGCCGACAACACAGAGAAGGTGAAGGGAGATCAGTCAGAGCACCGAGGCTCAGAGAGGCAGACGGCCTATATAAAGTTCTTAACACTTTATAGGATTATGGTATCTGTTAGTCTGGCTTCTCACCAGTGTCTGGGGTTAGAGATCAAGTACTAAAGAGGGAGTCTTGATGAGGTGTCAGGATTCCACCACTAAGCTCTCTGCAGAAACGTCTCGTAAGGAAATTCATGATTTATCTTGAAGCTCGATCTGCTTTTAGCCAGCGTCCTTACAGGAAGTCGCAGCTAAATTGATGGCTCCATAATACTGCTCATAATTGCTGAGTTATAGCATTAAATCAGAGAAAGTGTATGCTTAAACCTTTCGTAATTATAGCATGTGAATTGACTTGAGTCATAATGGTCGTTTTGATTTGCATTAAAATGGCATGTTTTTAGCTTTTTCCTAATTCATTTTATCACAACAACATATCGACACAGTAATTTTTTCTTACAGGTTGCTCAGTACTAGATTTCAGTTCTTCTAGTTATGTTCCCAGGTCTTCTTTCTCCATATCTTCATCTTCTTCTGTCATCTTCCTCCACATCATTTCTTATGTTTTTTTGTCCTCTTCTACATCATCTTCTTTCATCTTGTTTACTTCAGTGGTCACCACAGTGGATCGTCTTCTTCCTCCATCTCACTCTCACCCCTGCCTCCTCCACTGTTAAACCAACCATCTCAATGTCCTCTTTCCTCACCACCACAGATCCTCTCTGTGGTATTCATCATTTCCTCTTGCTTGGCAGCTCCATCTCTTACATCCTCTGTCAATTGTTTTCACCATTTTTCTTCAGCCTTGATGTCTAAACCATCTCAACCTTGCCTCTCGGACTTTATCTCAAAACCGATCAACCTTTGCTCCTCCCTCTGACGGAGTGGAATGCAAGGATGAGAAAGATTTAATCATGTGTATATTTGTGTTACAACAAAAAAAAGCTTGGTGCTTTTGATGCTTGCTGGAGGCTAGAAGATTTGAAGATTCTCTGGAACTGAATTTGTCTGTGATAACAAAAAGGGGTTTCCTTCTTTCACTTCTATGGTTTTGTCTCTTCTCTTTCTTGAAAATGATTCCATCTGCTTACCTCATCTGACAGATCACCTCAAACAGAGTGATTGTGGTGATCACCAGGTGATAGAGTCCTTGTGGCTCAGCCAACTGGAAAGATTTCAGTCCTGGCAGTTCCTTCCCTCCGTGTGTTTGGTGAGCTCTCATGTGAGCGCCATGGATCTGAACCACACTGGGTCAGCACTAGGAACATTTGTCAAGCAACATTTTTTGGTCTGGTTAACATGGGTGCAACCAGTTTTGTGTGCGATTCATGGAAAGTCCTGATGCAGAGTCATGTTACAGAGTTGTTAAAAAAAGTGTTTTCATCCTAAGCATCACAGAAGCCGTCAGTGTTTACAAAACGAAATTTGGATAAAGTCTTCTATCCATGGCCATTAGGGTCTGTGTGGACACTTGCAATGTGCTTGGTCATGCAGCTTTCACTTGATACACCATTAGTTAACCACAGCAAATTTCAGCAGTTATGTAACTCTGTTTTTTTCCTCAGTTTGATGACTGAAAATTAAAACCTATTTAATTTTATTTTGCAGAACAACTAAACAACTAGAGCTGCAAAAATATCACACAGTTGAATGGTGCTCTTCCTGCTATCAGGGGATATACATGCAGCACCCACACCACCAGAATAAGGGCTTGACATTATAAGGATTGATGTGCCTTTGTGATGGTGTTAAACCATATTTATACAGCAGATGGTACATGTGAAAGAATGTGTTCTTCTGGCTCGTGGCCTTCTGTCTGTCATCGGGGGTTCGGCTCGATTCCCAAACATCAAACACGGGCAAATGTTTCTTTCTCTGCTGGCATCTCTGAAGAGCTCAGTGTTTATATCCTGTTAGAAATGCATCCATCGGACTGTCAGCTTATATTAAATCTGACATCAAACTACTTTCTCTGGCTACTAAACCCTTGAGGTTGGAAGTGAGCCCTCATGGCACCTGCAATAAAAGCAAAGCTCCTGACATGGAAACTGATGTGAAGTTGATTTTGTAATTCAGTATCGAGAATTACAGAAAGAATGTTGTGTTTGGATCCTAATTTATTAACATCAAACTCCAAAGGTTGAGACAAAGACTTCCAAGAAGTTTGGGTATCAAGGCATTATCCACCAAAGAGCTTACTTCACATGAGCATCACTCATTTTAAAAACAAAAAATTCAGGTCTGAAATTATTACAGGCGGAACAGGTAAAATTTTCAGGGATCATGGAAACATCTCATTTTGCATAAAACTTACTGATATACGTATATGTATGACATTGAGATCTCACCTCAACCATTTTGTGGTGAACATAGCTACAAGATAAACAGCAACCACAAACGGCAAAGCAGCTTCAATTTTTTAACAACAGGAATGTTAAAAAATTCCACTGGTGGTCAACGTATAAAAATGAGAAGAAAATAATAAGTGGAAGAGGAAGTAGCCTAGTTGTTAACCTGTCAGTAACATTTTTACCTTGACTTGACCTCTGCCCTGCATCTTTGTCTCAATAGATGATGAGGCAAAAGAACCGTCTGAACTCCAGACTTCTGTGGCTCAGACTCAACCTGGTTCTCCAGTGGATTGTCACAGACACTGACAATTAGACATTCTTTCTCCCTTTCTTGTATTTGTTGAACGAGTGAAGCTATTCCACAAGAACCACAGACATCAACAAACTCTTATCTTAATCGATGCCAGACCGGCTCGTGGCTCCACGCTGCTGTAGATGAATAATTCACCTTGACACTGAGCCAAAGTTTAAACATGAACTTTAGAGTGTTAAATGTGTGGCTTTGCCTCGATAAGAATCATCAATGGCAGCACATGAAGGCTCAACACAAGTTGGTCTTCCAGGTTGATTTAAACTCTGGTCACAATTTTCCCCCAAACTCGGACCTCTCAGACTCAGATTTACAGGACAAAAGCATCAACATCCTCTTCTGCTTTGATCTGAAAATTGAGTTACAGCTCAAGCTGCCAAGACGGCCAAATAAAAGTTGTTATATCTCATCGCTAAATTGCTTGGGTCTGGAAATGTAATTGTGGTGCACGCTGGACAATATTTAATTTCATTTGTAGCATTCTTCTTCTTCTTTACTGCTAAAATTGTAGCCGATGCACTGCTGACACAGCAACTGCTCCAATCATGAGACATTTTGAGAAAGCTTCGAAAAACAACCGCTAATCTGCTGCTAAAATTCTTTTTAAAAAACCGAGGGCATTTAACTCAATTCTAACTCAGACAGTGGATGTATGGAGTATGTTATGGTGAGAGTCAAATAAGGTTTAGCTAAGCAAAGCTAATCCTGCTAACACCTCTGTCTTACTGTTTACAGTAAAACAGTTTATGGCCCTAAAAGACTAGATCAAAGAAAGAAGAAAGAGAATACAGACAGAGGGGGGGTCCAACACCAACTTTTACCCACAATACACACAGAGCCAATGGGAATGGCAGAATACAGACATCATATAGACTGACGTCATCCCGTCATCAGAGATTTCCACTTCCAGTGGGAAATTAAAAATAACGAGTTCAAGGAATAAAAATGGGCAAAAGTTATAGAAGACATTAAACCAGAAACATCTGCATCATTAAAATCTGCCGGCCTCCATATGGAGTTGGTTTCCCGCTCAAACACAGGGCCATTAACCAGTCATTGTTTTATATACATTTACTGTGAACCTCCAGAACATTCCTTGTGAATTGAGTAGCAGTTAAATTATCCCCACAACTACAGAGAGAAACTGGCAGTGCCAAAAGGAGCAGACTGTGAACTGAACCTGAGAGCACCCAGCTGTGAAGAAATCAACAAGCTAGAAAATAACAACAGGAAATGTATTCATGGCCAAATATACTGTAATGTTATCTGAAATCATCTCATGAATGACAGTAGGACGTATACTCACATCAGAACAGCCAAAATATTCAGTTTTTTAACAGTCAGACAAATACTTAGGAAGCACCATATTTAACGACAACCAGAACGACACTTTCTGGAGCGAGGTTTAGTTCCCCCGGCTGTGTGTGTGAACGTGACTCAGAGGCGGGGCAAACAGCGGGGCTCACTGACACATTTGTCAGGGAAGCCTGTCATTGTGGACTGAGGCTTCAGCTCTGGTCAAAGTGGCTTTGGCTACGGACAGAACACTTGTGGTCTCTACAGCCAACAGGCAGCTCGCCATTCCTGGGTGTCAACTGGTTTCCTCTCTGTGACCCCTGACCCCTCGAGAGTCAGGGAAATGAGCCAACATCCTCTGACACCTTGTTTTCAGTGATATGTTTACCACATGTATACTGATATTTATTTGTGGCTTTTGAGTGTGCGTTCACAATAATAATCCATCTCTCACTCTACCTTCTCCATCAGTCTCCTCAGGGATGATTGACAGCTGCTCCTTTTGAAAGACCCAGAATGCCTGTGGTGCTGGTGGGCGGTCCACCTTCTTACCAACATGTTGTACCTCTTGCCCTGACCTACTCATGGCTGCTTCTGCTCTTCCATGCTGCCTTTGGTCAGAAACCTGCCAAGCTGCCCCTGATCAGCCGGAAGCCCTTCATTGCAGCCTGGAACGCCCCGCTGGACTTGTGTACCATCAAATACAACATCTCAGCCAACCTGGACCGTCTTTTCCACATCCACGGAAGCCCACGTGCAGACTGGACGGGGCAGAATGTCACCATCTTCTACGCCAACAGGCTGGGTTACTACCCTCACTACACCCCCCAGGGCACCGCTGTGCATGGCGGCCTGCCGCAGAACAGCAGCCTGGACCTGCACCTGATGAAGGCCTACCAGGACATCAACCACTTCATCCCCGCAGAAGACTACCGTGGCCTAGCTGTCATTGACTGGGAGTTCTGGCGACCACAGTGGAGCCGAAACTGGCACAAGAAGGACATTTATCGTCAGAAGTCGAGGGAGCTGACAGCCAGAGCGTATGTGAACGTGACGGCAGCTCAGGTGGAGGAGCTGGCACGACGGCGGTTTGAGAAAAGTGCCAGGGCTTTTATGCAAAAGACTATCCAGCTGGGAACACGTCTTCGCCCCAATGGCCTCTGGGGTTTCTACCTCTACCCTGACTGCCACAACTACAACCTGCATGATCAGAACTACACAGGTTACTGCCCCCTGCTGGAGAGGCTGAGGAACGATGAACTTGTGTGGTTGTGGAACAGCAGCACAGCACTTTTCCCTTCTGTGGCTATCAGGAAAAGTCACACCAACAGCATCAGCAACCTGCAATTCTCCCAGCACAGGATCAGGGAGTCGCTTCGCATCGCCTCGCTGACCTCAAAGGAGTACGACCTTCCCACCTATGTGTACCTGAGGCTGGGATACAGGGACGAGGCCCTGGCTTTCCTCACTGCGGTTAGCTTTCCTTTACTATTGTTTGTCACAATAAACATCACCTTAGCAATTTTATTTTGAAGTGATAGTGAACTCTTTAGTCATGGGAAAATGTGCCCATAAAAAATAAAAATTTAAATAATAATAAATATAAATAATACATAAAATGAAATACCTCGCACTTAGGTGTATTCTTCTTTAGTTGTTTCTGTGAGTTGTGACCTACTCTACGTACCTGCTGTTTGTTTCCTGCAGAAAGACCTGGTCCACACCATTGGGGAAAGTGCTGCTCTCGGTGCTGCTGGATTCGTCATCTGGGGCGACCTTAACTTGACCTCATCCAGGGTAGGTGACCTCTGCCTGTGGTCACTCATTTCTGCTGAAAAAGAAAATGAAACAAAGATGGAGGTTTTTCTTGTTCATGACTCAGGGGACACTTTAAGTCATAGGCTGTTTTGACTGTAAACATTTCCCTGTTACAGTCAGACTGTGTTCCTTTAAAGTTTCTAGACTTGTTGGATGCCATACAAACCACCGCAGTAATTAGCCAGACAACAGAATGTTGACATCATGTGGTTCCTGTGTATTGTGAAAACACTTTTGACACATTTTTTTATGGCCAACTATGATTATGCCTGCAGTCAAATGTGATCTAAACTTGACTGCATTTGGTTCATCTTCAATCTTCTAAATATTTTTAGTCTAGGATCTGTTGTTTTTAAGAGTCTCCTCGTGGAGTCATCACTGACTTTAACTGTAATGTGTTTCTTCGTATTCACAGACAAACTGCAGCAAAGTGAAGGCCTTCCTGAGCCACCGCCTGGGTCAGTACATCCTCAATGTGACCAGAGCTGCCGAGGTCTGCAGCGACTTCCTGTGCCAGGGGAATGGGCGCTGCATCCGCCGTGACCCCCACGCCCCACATTACCTCCACCTGAACAAACGCAGCTACAGCATACGTTCCACCGGCAACGGTGACTTTGCTGTGACAGGGTGGCACTCGCAACACGATCTCCAGCTGCTGACCAAGAGGTTTCGCTGCCACTGCTATGAGGGTCACGAGGGCGAGAGCTGCGACAGCATCAATGAAGTGAGGGAGGACGACGAGCCGTGGACAGAGGGGGAGGACAACGAGCAGGAGAAGAGAAGGACAGAGTGGGAGTACGAGCAGGAAGAACAGAGGGACGCAACAGACAATAAGACTTCCCACAGCAGATCAGGACCTGAAACCTTATTTGTGATGCTGTTGTTGAACCTATTAACAGTAAAAATGGTTTATTGATGGACTCTGTTAAGGAGTCACATCATTACAGTGAATGTGTTCATAGTTTTTACCATTGATATCCACCCACTTCCAGAGGGTTTAGACGGCAGGGCTGGTGTTCGGCTCAGATGTTTGCTGCTGTGCAGTGGGTAAAGAAGACAACTCACAGAACTGTTTACCTTTAACGCAGTAGTGCCTGAACTGAGTATATAATACTCAAAGATGCAATACCAACACTGCGAGATACTGCAGTACCGTGCAAAAACTGAATCTAAAAGAACATCTACAGCCAGTGCTAAATCGAGCCGGTTTCGTCTATCTTTTAGTACTTACGACGTGGCGACATCTAGTGGTGAAATATGTAGTACAATTTTTTTTAAAAACCCTTAAGGTGCCACTTATATGTCGAGCTAATCTTTGCACTTTCCAACATGCAGTTAACTCAAGTTATTATCATAACAAGGCTTTTATTTCGATTAACATAGGCTAACGAATAATTCTTTAAGGCCTGGAGCATATTTCCAATTTTAACAAATAATATGATGATATTTTAAATTATAGTATTTGGCTTTAAATGGCTGGGTAACCTCAGAAATTTTAACAAACACCCTATTATTAAAACATTCTTGAAAAGTACTGTAAGGCCTGAGATAAAGGGCAACTGACCGTGGTTTTACGGTCTCTTTACAGATGTAGCAGTAAGAACAGTATGAGTGTAGAACATGAGTTCATGTACTGTGGCCTAGATCTTCCAATGAAATGGTGTTCCTTCGAACCCTAGCACAGATCACAGCTGCAGCTGAAGATATTGTTGAAAGCTGAATGTTAGAAAATAGCGAGGGGCTGCATTTTGCACAGAACATTTTGACCAGAGAACGTTTGGGCGACTGTTTTGCAGGAAGAGTACGTAAACAGCCATAAAACCTGAATCTGCACCGCCACTTTGATAAGTAATGTTGGTTATGGTTAACGTAACCGTCGTACTTTTACTCTGCTACCTGAGTCACGGTCAGCAGGCGAATCGCTTCTAAAACAAGGCAGCTTGACTTCCCAGAATTCATCTCATTCACTGTGGTCTGGACTGAACAGCTCGAACGTCTGTTTCTGCAAAGTTATTCAAAGCAGTGGTCCCCAAACAGAATCACCCGTTACTGTGGACCGGTAATACTGCTACAATTTTCAAATTTCAACATAAAATACCTTTTAGAGTTTAAACGGTTATTATCAGTCTGAATGACGTATTGTTTTGAAAGTTTGTCAGATTACCTTTTAATGAATAAAGTAAAGGGATATGACTGGATCATTTTTCAATGGAGTAAATCAGTAAAACTGAAGTACATTTTTACTTATTTACTATTATAAAACACAAATATCTGACTCTCCTGCATGTGTGGGATATTTGAAATATATCAACGTTAGAGTCTTTGTTGCTTGAATTACAAACTGGATTTCACTGAAGGCCGTGTGGATTTTAAGGAAAACTTTAAGCTATGAAAATGTTTTAATAGCACAGAAAAAATGTTAACAAGTCGAGGTTTGTCCACAGTGGCAGCTCACAGAGAGGTTCACTCGGCTGCAGCAGTTATGAAGCAGCCGGAGGAAACCAGAGGTACTACAATGTCAGAGACGGTCTGACCTAGAGAATAAATGTGTCTTTTATTTTTGCCGTGTTTGTATAAAAGTACAGAATATCAGGTATATTTTTCATATACAATATTTTAGTTTATTTTACTTTATCTCAACTTGACATATGAACAGCTTTTGAAAGCGTTTGAAAAACACCGGAACTGAGAATATGGCACATAACTTTAACCTGATTTTAGGATGAAGTGGTTTTGTGTTTAAGATTTATAACTAGCCTTAAAGGTATATACTGTAGTTTTCTTTATTTCTTTTAATACCTAGTATTTTTTAAAGGCGTGCATGAGCATGGTGCAAAGCCAAAGATGTGTTTTCTTAACCCGAGAAAGAATAAATATGAGTTAAAAAAACCCAATAAAATACGTTTTAATATGTTGAAGCTTCTGCATTTTTTAATCTATTGTTTGTGTGGCATTTAAAATAGTTTGTTCATCCAAATAATTCAGTAAAGGTTGTTCTTAAATCCATTTCTAACATGTTTGAGCAACTAGCACAAGATTTTACATTTTTAAAATTATATTTGTGATTGTGCCTACACAGTCAACATTTAGTAGAGTAGAAAACTTTAATTTGTCACCACAAACACGGACGCGAAAATGTGGTTTTAAAAAATTAATAATAAATTAACTAAATAAAAACGATACAAAACAATTGTTGCGTCATGTCCGCAGACTTTCCTTCTGTACCACTGTGGTTTTTCGTGCTTTTCAGGATAAGGATTTCAGAGAAAGTCTTGCCAACCCTTTTAGAACATTCAGGAAGCACAGCAAGACTCAACAAGAGACCATTAGTCCTTTAAGATTAACTGTCCAAAGAAGACAAAAAAAGAGGAAGAGGTGTGGGTTCAGAGATAAACCTCTTGCTTTCTTACCACAGATGACACATGGAAAATTGCTCACATTTCACAACACCGTTTTTCAACACTGATTCTACTTAACAGACGCTTCTCTTTTAATATATACAAAAACAAAGAGGAATTCAGTGATTAACTGATGAGCTGTTAGCCGTTAAGGGGACAGAAGAAGACAACCGAAGCTTTAACTGTCCCCATTTCTAAACCAAATATGAGTGAGAAGATTTGAAGTCACTCAGAGAAAATAAATAAATAAAAATAAACATACCTTTAGAATTAACACAGCAGCAAAATGGTGACAAATGTGGATCCTCTCGAAGGCTGGAGTCATGAAAATAGTGGATTTAAATGCCTCACACAAACTCATTACATTTACATTAACGCATGCGCAATAGCCGAAAATAAAGTCGGAGAAAATCGGGGAAAACGTGTCTAAACATACGCAAGAACAGAGCAAAACAACAAATATTACTGAAAAAAATACGTTCATACAAATTAATACAAACTAAAAACAAGTGGTGAGAGTTCATACTAATCAAACACAGGTGAAACACGTCAGGTCAACGAAAACGACCAACTAACTCACGGCACAGGATGTAAACTAGACAAGGAAATCACACGAATCTGACATTTCAAAATAAAATAGGAAATACAATTCAAGTTAACAGGAAAAGCCTAAAGTCCGAAAAATATCAAAATAACAAAAAAAGTATTAATTAATAATATCTTAATAAAGCCTGGAGTTTCAAATAATTTTCAAATCAAATAATTAGGATGTGTTTCATTCATTTCACTCATTGTGAGTTGACAATTGTTCCTGAAAAACATGTTTGATGTGTTCCATCTGAATTTTCTCACTGTCACATTTTTATTGCACACAGAACGCCAGGTCCCAACTATGGTCTCCTTTTTTTAAAATAAACTGCATGTGAGAAGTTGCAAGTCACACTTTGATCAGATAAAATTGGCAGCAACTTTTTTTTATTTCTGTGGTATGAGGCAGCAAAAAAGTAGTGAACTTAAAGAAGAGTGACTGGTTCCGCAGTTCACTCGAGAAGGAGGAAGAACAGGTAAGAATCGATGATGACCTGCGAGATCTGCACAATTTGTGGCAACATACGTAGAATTAAATTAAGACTGATGTTTAATTTATTTAAACGAATATTTTCGTAGCGTAGATGAGCAGATATATTTGTGTTATTTGTGCTATAAATGTAAAAATATTCAGTAAATTAATTATTATTAATAATTGTTAATTTTACTCTTTAAAAAAAGAAAAGAAAAAATTTCTAAAACCATTTAGAAATTTTTGTTAATTTTACTCTTTAAAAAAAGAAAAAAGGCTAAAACCCATTTAGAAATTTTAAAATTCATTGTTGTCAGGAATAAGGTAGGACTTAACCAGTCAGTAGAAAATAATGAAAACTATAACATCAGACATTCTTTTCCACTTCTAACTAAAGTGACCAAAAATGTCTCAAACTGAAGATACATTTGGTAGAAAAGCCAGTGTCAAGTAACTCAACAGAAGTAACTTCCACATATCTTTAAAGTCATATAAGAAAATTGTAAACATCTGAAAGCTGCAGCTGATGAGTTGTGGCACCATAGATGGTAAAGGATCAATACAGGAAGTAGAAAAATTATTTCCGTATAGAAGAGGAAACCCAAAGATACAGGGAGTTGAAATGGGAAGAAAACAAGTAATAATAATAATGATAATCATAATATAATAATACAAAATATTGTCCTACAGCCTTCTGTTTTTGTTTGTCCAGAGCTGTCTCAATGGCGACGCCCCTGCTGTTTGCTCTTTCTATCTGCACCCTTGGGTGTTTCGCCCCCATCCTTGCTCTGCCACCTACTGAACCTCCACTGATCGACGACCGCCCCTTCATGCCCATATGGAATGCCCCCACTGAACAGTGCAAAAACCTCAAAATCCCACTGGACACGGCAGCCTTCCAGGCAGTGACCACAACCGCAGGTCAATTCAATCAGTTCCTCACCATCTTCTACGAGGACCGTCTTGGTCTTTACCCTAAGGTCAACACACAACTACGCAAAATCTACAGAGGAGGAGTGCCCCAAAATAGCAACCTAACAGAGCACCTGGTCAAAGCCAAGAGTCAGATTGATCATTACATCTACCAAGACTCCGCTCCTGGGCTTGCTGTCATCGACTGGGAGTCCTGGCGCCCCATATGGGATCGGAACTGGGGATCAAAACGCATTTACCAACATTTATCAGTCGCCCATGCGCTACAAATGGCTCCATTTTTCCCATTCAAACAAATTACCAAACTGGCCAAAAAGCAGTTCCAAACAGCCAGCAGGCGGTTCATGGAGACAACCATCCGCCTCGGCATCAGCGAGCGTCCAAGTCACCGCTGGGGCTTCTACCTGTATCCCGACTGTTACAACTACAACTGGGACCGACCTGACTACACAGGCCAGTGTTCGGCTAAAACCCAGAAGCAGAATAACGAGCTGCTTTGGCTCTGGGAGGAGAGTACCGCTCTATACCCCTCCATCTACCTCCACACTTCTCTGAGGAACTCCCCCAAAGCTGCTCTGTACGTGCGCAACCGCATCCAGGAGGCGATCAGGGTGGCAGCGCTGCCCAAACACCCGTACACCATGCCGATTTATGTTTATTCTAGACCGCTGTACAGGGATCAGACCGAGAAGTTCCTGAGTCTGGTAGGAAAATGACCATTTCCTTAAATATTCACACGGTGTAAGTTGAGTTTTAGGACCAGAGGGGTCACTGGTATCTTTACTGAGGAGGTACCATATGTCTACAAGACTGCTGGTTAGTAATCGAAGACAATATGTATAACGTTCTGTTTTAATTTAAAAATATATTCTTAAGGTAGTATTATAAAAAATTAGCCTAATCCCTTTTTTATTTTATTTTTTACAAATTAATATTGAGAAATTTGAATTAAAATTTAAATATAAACATATATGGTGTCTTCACATTATATTGAGTAGTTATTATATTTCTGTTTTCTTTTTACAATATAGAAGGACCTGGTGAGTACTGTGGGGGAGTCGGCAGCTCTGGGAGCCTCGGGGGTCGTAATGTGGGGAGGAAGTAAAGACTACAACAACAAGGTAACCAACAAACTGTCCAGATCAAGTATCTGATGTGTTAGATTCTGTGTGACATGTAGATGTAGAAAAACAGGAACGCACTTGACCACCGTGGCTCAGCAAATACTTTCCACGGAGGAACTAGGTGACACTGAATAATAAACATCTCTGCTCACAGCAGACTGGAGCAGGTTTCTCACCGTCTTACATGTACATTTGTAATTAATCTTCACCTTTTTGGTAGAACACAAAAATACAGGGTGACTTGGACTTGATTCTCACCACAAGTCAGAACTCACATATTATACATAAGTACCTGTAAGTCACCTACACCAGTACTTCTCAAATACTGGGGCGGGCCCCCATGGGGGGAGGCGCCGTGAACTGCAACAGGTGGGGGGTGGGGTGGGGTCTTCCTATGGAATATGGCATGCATAAGGACATAAGTGAACCACTGCTGTAAGGCTTGAATGATAACAAGGCTCCAGTCACTAGGTGGCAGCAACTCATACAGTGGTTTGTACAGATAAAAATATACGTTATATGTTATCAGGTTCTCAATAGTATTTCAGTTCATGGGGGTGTGAATCCAGGGGACGGGCGGCAGGGTGTGAAAACGTTTCTGTCCCCTAGGGGGTATATGTTATCAGGTTCTCATTAGTATTATAGTTCATGGGGGTGTGAATCCGGGGGACGGGCGGCAGTTTCTGTCCCCTAGGGGGTACGCCTGGGAGCCACAGTGAAGGGCAAAGAATTCCCCAAAAAACTGCTCAGTCAGGACGATGAGAGACGGCGACGTAACCATGAAACGTCGTGAACCCGAGGACCCTCACTCCACAGTGAGAATAACGCCACTCATTTTGTCATATCCACTTATTCTTTCAGGCTGCCTGTACTTCACTGTCTGAGTACCTGGTGTCGACCTTTGACCCTTACATTGCCAACGTGACAGCCGCCGCCAAACTCTGCAGCCACGTCCTGTGTCAAGGGAAGGGCCGCTGCCTCAGGAAGGACTACAACTCCACCCATTATCTGCATCTGAACCCTGAACACTTCAGCATCGTACGCACCAGCGGGGAGTACGTGGCTGTGGGTCTGCCCTCGACCGCCGACCTCCAGTGCTGGGCTGAGCACTTCACCTGTCAGTGCTACGCCGGGATGATCTGTTCTCCAAAACTACAATACCCGACTATGATCAGAATGATTTCAGTCTGAGCTGTGCCTAAAGCCGCACCGTTGATACGGATATGAGCAGAGAAAATGCTGCAGTATTTCAGATTAATAATTGAATGTATGTCCGACACTTTAACAAGTCTGTGTTTAAAAAAAAACAACGTGCTTTTTGCTCTGTTTCTCTGTGCTTTTAATATAGAAACTGCTTTTATTCAGCCTGATATTTGAATAATTATATAAAATCTGTTAGAATCGTTACGTTTTTTCCTCCGATAATGAAAACCTGATGACGCAATGCCTGGGTTTACCCAACTGATCTGTGATTTAAAAATCGTTTAGGGGATAAACAGCTGTACATTAAAGTAAAAGTCACTAGATGGCAGCATTGCAGCTCATTTTATTAATCTATTCTAATAATCAGATGATTGTAGGCAGAATGCTGGTGCCAGCAACTCACACAGTGGTTTGTACAAATAAATAAATACATATTACCAGGCCTATATCGGAGTCGGTTGATATATGTTTGGACAATATCGGCATATCAGATATCTGCAATAAGTTAATATCGGACATCCCTAAAAAAACATGTAACCAGTTATTAAAGTATTAAAAAAAAGGAGAAATATTTTTTGTTTTTTGTTAACTTTTACTTATTGTTTATTTTGCTGGTTTTAAAATGTTATATGATGACTCAGACAGGAAGTTCTGTCTGTTGATGAAAACACAGTTAACAGAGATCACACCTTTACTTATCTGTGACTGAGTCTTCACTGACAGAAGACAGAGGTTGATGTCAGTGCTTCAGTCCTGTCATGTCCTTCATCAGTCATGTGACTTCCTCAGCCTGGTCCATTCTGATAACTGCTGACAACGTTCAAACTCTCACTGCATGCGTGTTGGGGCAGAGGATTCAAACATGATCAACATCCTGTCCACAGAACGTCCTGGTCCGGGAGCTTCCACAGATATCCTCCTCTGGGCAGAAGGCTCCCATCCAAAAAGACACCATGACGTCCCGGTGAAAAACACAACACCTCAGGGCTGCAGCATCCGCAGCTCTGACATGTTTCCACAAGTGTACCTGCCTGTACTGTTAGAGTATTTAAGGACGTGGTATTTCAACTCCAGCAGAAGACGATCAAGGCTAGTGTTTATAAGGAAAGGGGGTAATAATAATGTCATGACTAACTGAGGGGACAGTTTCACTGACAGCAAGTTGACTCTACAAAGAAGGTAGGTGTCAAACCAATGATTTTTTATTGAGTTCAAAGGTGTTTTGCATTAGTTTGGCTGAACTGTTAGAGTATTCTTCACGATGAACACAACTGGTGTTTAACTGGATTTACAAGTTAACAAGTTTCCTAAAATCCTAAACATAATCCTAAACATATCATGTGACCTTCAGAACACAACTGGTGTTTAACTGGATTTAGAAGTTAACAAGTTTCCTAAAATCCACCTGAACATATCATGTGACCTTCGCATGTAAAACTTTGTGATGTTTTCACTACAGCACTTCATAAATCACTCGAAAAGTTTTCACCTTGAAAAATGCTAAAAAACGGAGAAAGTTTTACAAGACGTCAAAGATTTGAAGTAAAGTGTGGTAAATTGTTTTCGGAGAAAGTTTTACAAGGTCCGTGACATCTGTGTGATTCATCGTTGACGTTGTAGTATTTGTGTGGTGGTGTTTATTTATTAAGTGAAATTAGGACAAATAATTAAAAAATCCTCCTTTATTTTCTTGAATGTTATCAGTCCAATTACTTTTTATTGCATGATTGCTTCATTTATTTCTGGGACTTGGAATCGTTTTGTTTCTTTTTACTGCTAAGAGATCTCAATCTTTACGATCAGCTGATAAAATCAGACTTACGTTGTGGCGAAAAAACAATCAATTATACACCTCCAGTCACAAATAGTCTGGGCAAGCTGTGGTACACGAAAAAACATTTTTTGAAACCATGTAAATATTCAAAACCCTCAACTGGTCAACGTTGTGTGATCGTGTCATGTGATCTGACAAAAAGACATGATTGATGTGAGCGGCGACGTCTGATAACGGCATGTAACAACGGCTCTTCACGCTAACCCTAAAACTTAGTTTTGTTGCCTGTTTTTCGTCTGCTTTATCGGAGCCTGAAGGCACAGCAACGCTGAGGTCGTATTTCATCATCCTGCAGCAACAGGAAAACAATTATCAGGCCAACCCTAACCTCCAGGATAATGAACCCACATAAATCTTTCTAATGTCATTGGAGAACCAGCGATCGAGATCACGATAACTCTGCAGACTTCATGTCTTAACTTGAAGTGACCGCTCATCACGCTGGATTTTCTTACCAAACTGTTGCACCAATAAAGAAAATAATATGTATTGGACTACAGGTCCAAGGTCTAAACTCCTGTCTGAACATATCGGTCAGCTGATGTTATCGAACATCACTATTAACTTTTTTGTTTTGTATTATTTTTGTTTTCTTTCTTTAAAGTTTTTCTTCTCTTTCTCTCAGAGAGACGACGTCACCGTCAAAATGGACGGACACATATTCTGTATCTTGGCCACTGCAGTGACCTTGGTGGCCTCAGGTGGCGCTTCAACCACGACAGACCCTCCTATCGTCCAAGGAAAACCCTTCGTTTTTATGTGGAACGCCCCGACTGAACTTTGTGAAGTCCGTTTTGGCATGCCCCTTGACCTTTCCTACTTTGACCTAATCAGCAGCACGCTCAAGTCTGCCACCAACCAGAAAATCTCCATATTCTACACCGACCGTTTTGGGATTTTCCCCTACGTGGATGAAGAAACCGGGGAGGTCTATGATGACGGTCTACCACAGCTGGTGGACATGAAGGAGCACCACGAGCTGGCCGAAGATGACATCGAATACTACATTCCTTTTGACCAGCCCGGACTTGCCGTGCTGGACTTCGAGGAGTGGCGTCCACAGTGGGTCAGAAACTGGGGGAGCAAAGACATCTACAGGGACTTTTCTGTTGAACTGGTGAAGAAGAAATTCCCCATGTTGTCTGAGGAGCAGGCAGAAGATAAAGCAAAGTTGGTGTTTGAAGGTGCAGCCAAGAAGTACTTCAACCGCTCCATTGGCCTTGGAAAGAAGATGAGGCCCAAAAGACTGTGGGGGTACTACCTGTACCCCGACTGCTACAACTACGACTACAACCAGGACATGGAGGGCTACACCGGAGAGTGTCCTGAGATCGAGCAGGAGAGGAACAATGACCTGATGTGGCTCTGGAAAGAGTCCACCGCTCTGTTTCCATCCATCTACCTGGAGCTGGTTCTCAGAGACACCGTGAAGGCGCACCTTTTTGTTCGCCATCGAATCCGTGAATCCATCCGGGTGTCGATGCTCCCCAACAGCTCCTACTCCATCCCTATCTATCCCTACATCCGCCCGGTGTACAAGGACAGCACGGACGACTACATGTCAGAGGTCAGTCACAGCTGGGGTTTTAGCTCATTAGCTCTTTAGCGTTGGCTCCACGTGGAACAGTTTGTATCATTTGTGAAGATGGCAGAAACCTTCATCATTAGTTTATTTTCTTTCTTCTTTTTTTGCAGTTCGATTTGGTGAACACCATCGGAGAAGCTGCAGCTCTGGGCGCTGCGGGCGTCATTTCCTGGGGAGATATGAACGTCACAGACACCGAGGTATATTGTACAGATGATTTCACAAATGTTTTTGTTGGTTTTTACCCCACTACGATGACACACGTCACATTCTGCAGGATACCTGCCTTGACGCTCGACGCCACCTGGAGCACGTCATGAACCGGTACATTGTGAACATCACGAAGGCCGCGGAGCTCTGCAGCCAGGCCATCTGCAGGAGTCAGGGTCGATGTGTGAGGAAATACTGGGATGATGACGTCTACCTCCACCTGGACCCACGACGTTACAGAATTCAACAGTTTCGCCGCGGCGGGCGATTCGCCGTCATTGGTGGGCTTTCGATGGATGACGTCAATTGGTTCGATCGGCATTTTGACTGTATGTGCTTCAGCAGAAAGCCCTGCAGATCTGTCCTCTCGTTCAATGACATCATGAACCGAGCTGTTAAGGACAATCGAGCTGCTCAGACGCCGTGCTCTCTTCTACTGCTGCTGACCCTGCTCTATCTGGAGTATGTTTTATTGTTGTAGAGCTGCAGTTGAGCTATCTGTTAACTCCATTTATAGATTTGAAACATTTCTTAATTTCCTGTAAGATGATGCCCAGAATTTCTAGTTCATTAACGAAAAAGTTTTATTCCTACGTTGATGAAGTTTGTACTGCACTGCATACTATTGTCCAACAGAGGACGCCAGAGCTCTGTATTTTTTGTTTCTGGCGCCTACCAATGGAATCTATTTCTATGAATTCTTTCCTCCTTGGTTTCCCAAACTGGCCTCTTATGTCTGCTAAAATACTGTACATCTATTTAACACTAGGGGTCACAAAAATTGTTCCTGTGAACTTTATGAAGGTTTATACCTTCTCTGTATTTTATGCCTTTCGATGCAAGTAATCTGGACGTCCATAAGAAGATGTAATATAAAATAGACCCAGAAGGGGGCAGCAGTGAAACTCTGCAAGTAAACGTCAAAGAAGTCAGACTGAGATGTTAGCAGGATTAGCTTAGCCAAGCCGTCTGGAAGGCTAACCCTCAAAATAAAATATTACATACTAACAAAGCAACAAAGCTAACATGCCACGCATTAACCCACTGCTAACATGTTACTAATGTGTTCATACTGGTTTTTGCACAACCAAGACTTGATCCTATCACGCTCGACACTAGCGTGACAATGACATGCTAGGTGTTTAAAATGGTGTGCTTTTCTTGTAAAAATGTTTTGACCAGGTTTAAAAGATTTAAATAAAACTGTTGTGTACTTAGCACCACCTTCTGGTCAGGGAAGAGGCTGGCGACCAAGAAATAGCAAAACACATTCCATTTTAACTTTGGGGTTTTTTTTCTGAATCCTAGTACTAGGATTTTAATTTGGTGGCAGGAGGAGGAAGGACAAACACAGATAAGACACAGAGATACCACTACATGTTGGTGTCCAACAGAGGACAGAGACATCTTTGTTTGTACTGTTCACACTCAGCACAACATGCTACAGTGAATGTAACAAACGGCTGAGCCTCACTGAGCCACGGATGGAAACCTGACACAAAAATATTAACAATTATATATATTTATTTTTTCATTATTTGTCCAAATTATTGACCGACGGTTTATCTGCTGCGTCACTCTTGGCGTTACTCTCAGCTGTTTCGCCTCTCACCACTGTTTCGTCACGACCCGGCCGCCGCCCCGCTAGTGGAGAACAGAGTAAGCCATTATCATGTTGCAGCATGGTCCTAACAGCAGTGAGCGTGAGTGTGAGAGTGAATAGTGCTGCACAGACAACACATGGAGACTGTGAGGTCGTCGCTTTTAGACGTGGTCTGTAAATACAGTCGTTCGCCTGCTGCCGGCTGAGCGGAGGACTCCAAACTATCAACATCAGCTTCCTTGATTACTGATTGATCAAAGATTTAGCTGCTAATTAAAGAGAGTCAATCTATTAGTGATCATGTCAAGGTCAGTTACACTGGACCGCCACTGAATGGTTAAAGGCTGAGCAATTAAATCATCTTTAATTGTGTCTTTCTTCAATTCCTGCCAGTATATCAGCATTGTCTTCAACTAAACAGGCCGAGATTTTAGTCAATTATGAGGTCATTTAGACTAGAAGATTATTTTATTTCATTACATAAACTTTTTTGTTTGTTTTGAGAAACACTACAGAATGACCTTTTGCTGAAGATATAAAAACTTCTGATGATTCTGATGGAAAGTCCTCTGTCTCATTAGTTTATCTCCAACCTCAGTGTCATTTACACTGTTTGAACTTACATTTCAACTCTTCAAGCACTGCGACCATTTTCATCCATTTTTTTTCTACTGTATTTAGAGCAGAATAAGAGAAGACTCTTTGTACTTGAACCACATTCTTTCCTAATCACCCGCTTGGCTTTGATTTGCCCTCTGGCATCAAACTTGCGTGTTGGACTCTTTTGTGAGCCAGGCTGGCGGCCCCAGTCCCCGCTCCAGTAATTAGACAGTCCCATTCATTCACAAACAATGGGACGGTGGGTACACGGAGGCTGCGCTGCTAAACAAGCTGCTCACTGACCTTCTCCTAAACGCTCCCAGGGCTGGTGTCTGGGATGAGACAGACATCCTGGAAACAAACTTAATTGCTGTGTCTGATTGGTGGTCAGGAGCCAAACTACCACGGTAACAGAACCTCGCATGTTGCTGCTTAAGGTAAATGTTGTCTGAAAAAACAAAACAAAAGGGTCAGAGCATCACAACAACGGCAGCCACTTAACTAATTGCTTGTTTAGAAACTATGTAAAAACATTACATAAACTTAAGTCGCTCTGGAGTATTAGTCGCACCAGCCAAAAAATACTGAGTAATAATGAAGAAGAAAAAAAAAGCATAAAGGTCGCTGTGGAGTAGTCAGTATGAAATTAACAAACATACATTTTCAGTGGTACAGGAGTAGCAGATACTGGTACACAAGCCTAGAGTGCCCTCTAGCGGCTGTCAGTGTGAAAATAATAAACATGTGAAATTATATATTTTAATATATGAGTCGCAACTGAGTATAAGTCGCAAACGCAGTCAAAGGATGAAAATAGTGGAACTTTTAGTCTGGAAAATACGGTAATCTTTCTCCATGGTTAATACTGGCAGTTGAACAGAAAGTGAGCGGAGCTTTAGGATTAATATAAACAGGTCCAACTATCACACCAACAGTTTTCACTCCTCGTCCATACTGTATCTGCTCCGACAGGAAACACAGGCAGCAATCATTCAGCCGAGCTGCCGTCGCCCAGAGCCAGGTTCTAATTGCATTCCTATGGACTGTACTGACAGAACTATGAGGAGGGGGAGACATGAGTGGGGGGGCGGGGGGTGAATGCCCTCGTCGAAGCATCAGTTCAGGCATTGCGATGTTCAGTCACAGCCGGTGACCTAGAAATGTTGCTCCAATCCCCAACAAAGGAAGAAGTGGGACAGTGCTACAGTCAACACCCTCCCCCATCCCCCAACCCCCCCCCAAACCCGATAAACATTTCACATCTGACTGAGGAGATAATGTGGCTCTCACACAGCACTGAGGGTCTGAAGGGTCCAGCAGGAGACCAGGCTAACACACACACACACACACACACACACCAGTGTCATTAGTACTAACAGGTGCCGTGAAACACCAGGAACTGAAGTCACGTTTGAAGATTTAAATCAGCATGTATTTAAGTTTAATCTTTAAGTTTTATTTTAAAGATTCAAAAATGTGATTTCTTCAAACGTGTGACAGTGAATAAGAGAGAGGCACAGAGAGCTGGAAACATGAATGAGTGGACAGGGTCAGAGATTCTGGACATGAAATATTCATGGGAGGCTCAACAGTGTGGCTGTTGATCAGAGCCGCTCCGTCACACAGAGGCTGGACTCCTCTGACAGAGCAGCTGATGCTGAGCGGTGCTGCATATGGATGAGAGCGACAGGGGGTGAAGTCAAATACGTGTCAACAATGAGTGTGTTTCACTGCCCGGCGTTGGACACTGGACACTGGAGACTCACAGAAGGGCTGAGAGTGGAGTGTGAATTCACCTGCGTGTCCCGGTTGTTGAATAAAGTCGTCAACAAATGTCAACGGGCGAAGCTGAAGCATTTTAACCAGGGATGTCCTCGGAAAAAAAAATTCTCAAATTTCATAAGAAACATGCAGATATGATAAATTTAAAAAAGTGCAAAAAATTCCTCATAATTTTTCAACATCTGACCAAAGTTTACATGCGAAAATAAAGTCTCCTCAGATTTAAAAAAAAAAAAAAATTCTAAAACAATTTTCAGAATGTTCCTTATTGAAACATGCAGATCAGTTGGGCAAACAATTTTCAGAATGTTCCTTATTGATGAGAAACATGCAGATCAGTTGGCTAATAATATTGGTATATTTGCTTCATTATGTAATATTGGTTTTTCCTCCGATAATGAAAATCTGATAACGCGATGCGGGTTTGGCCCAGATGATTTGACATGTCAAACTATTATACAGCTGCATATATCGGTGTCAGTTGATATCAAAATCGGAAATTAAGTGATTGGACAATATCAGCAAAACGTTAATCAAAGTTAACATCCAGAGATTTAACATTTAAAACAGTTCAAAATGGACCAGAGAGAGGAGGAGACTTGACTGATTGGGTTTGTTTACCAAACCAAACCAGATTCTGGTTTCAGTTTCCTGCCGTTTCCTGAAAAACCACAGGGTTTAAGGAGATTTGTTTGCCTCTGTGAGAAAAGGGAAAGAATTATGCAGAGTCCAAGAGGAAGTTGTCCCTCGGTGGTTGGACCCTGGGGTAAAAACTCCCCTCAGAGCTATTATTCATTGAGCATTCATTCAGTGACCCTGGATGACTACAGTAGACTGCTGCGTTTGTGAGCTGCTGGTTTATGACTGTGTATATGAAAGAAGCTTCAGTCAGAGCTGAGACGGGAGGAAGAAAATGAAAACACAAAGGCCAACGCTGATCAACAGGCCAGTACTGCTCCAGGACACGCAGTATACGCCGTTTGTTTTTGTGAATCCTAAATATTTTAAAGAGGTGAAGAACAGTGTGAACGTGGGATCAGTGAAGTGAGGTTTGACAGAAGGACAGCATCCTGAGTCTGCATATTCAAACTGCGGCTCACGGGCCACATGTCGCACAGATGCAACCTCAAAATGGTCCCAGCAGATATAACCACAATTGTCAGGTAATGATAAATATCCACAGTTGAACAGACCATGAATGCAACACTCTCAGTCATGCATCCCACAATGCATCACCAGCATCTAGAAGTGCTATTGAGTTTAAAGCAGAATATCCGTCTCTTAAAGAACGATCATTTTTAAACGACTTCAAAAGTTACGACCATAACAAAATGGACACCGGGTGTAAACGTATGAAAACATATGTTTAAATGTTTTATTCAAAGTGCCACATCACAGCGCCTCGTCGACTCCCAACGTACGCTGAACATGACACAGTCCACAGCTGCTCTCAAAGTACAGTCGACTCACCTCAGACCAACAACCAGTAAACTACAGTCACAGCTACAATTCACTTTTCATTTTCTAACACAAAAACCCGGGGATATTTTAAAACATCTCTCCATGTTAACCATTTCCTTCAAAACAACTAAAGACAAACTAATAATTATGTCTATTTTTTCCCCCCTAAAATCGTCCAACTAAACAATTTGGAGAACGTTCTAAACCTCAGTGGACTATAAAAATAAATATTAACCATGTTTTTAATTAAATTGAGGAACAGCTGTTTGTGAAATTAACACATTGAACTGAGCTCTAATGGAACACACATTCATCACAAAGTAAAAAAAAATGTCTGCAGTTAAATTATCATAGGTAATGTGAGTTAATGATAAAAAACTAGACAAATAAGAATAATGATTCTTTTTAATACTGACTGTGCTCTTTCATATTTGTATATCTTTCATATATATACATACATCTATATATATACATATATGAATATACATACATATGTGTATATATATATATATATGAAAGAAATACAACTGTCCCAGATCCCGTCTTTGTCCATCACTACATAACAACAGTCTGGATCCTGACATCCTCCTCCTCCTCCTCCTCGTCCGACAGGTCGCCCTCAACAGTGTGTGGCCACAGTAGGGTAGGTGCGGGCCGCCCTGTGGATGGTGCTGAAGGGTGAGAGCTCCAGCTCTGTTACGTTTTGCTCGTTGTCTGTGTCGCTGGTGTCGGTGGCCGGCGACGCAGGCGGCCCGCACTCTTGGCAGCAGCAGCAGCAGCAGTCCAGGAAGGCCTTGGTGAAGGGCTGGCACAGGGTGAAGAGCAGCACCGGCGCCACCGCTGACTTACAGAAGAGCAGCAGCTGGCTGACCAGGTGCAGGATGTCCAGGGCTCTCCTGGGGACACTGACGGCCATGTACGCGGTCAGGATGTTGCAGATGTTCTCCGGGATGCTGCAGAATCCATAGAGGATGGCCAGCGCCACCACGGCGCAGTTCATCTGGCTTTCCAGCTGGATTTGCTTCTTGCTGCCCCGCACGCACGAGCGCTCGGCCCGGCGGATCTTGCGAGCGGTGAGCAGCGAGCTGCAAATGGTGAACAGCGTTGGGAGGCAGAAGTAGCAACCAAAGTACCACCAGAGCCTGGCGCCGTCATAGGTGAGTCCCAGGACGTACAGGGTGTCGGGGAGGTCGGTGGAGATGCGGATCACGCAGCGCTCACAGGGGGTCACGTCAGGAGGGTCGCCGTCCTCGGTGACCAGTTGACGTATGAGGAGTTCAGGAAGTGCCAGGAGCAGAGCCCCCACCCATATGACCGTCAGCTTGGCTGTGGTGGAGACCCAGTTCTCAATCATCTCATAGTACATCTTCACGTTGGAGGCAGCTCGGAATCGATCGATGCACAAGGCGCACAGGGTGAAGGTCGTGACTCCGAGAGAAACCACCTGATGAGACAGGCAGAAGAAAACAAAAACGATCATTTCTGAATGTATCCCAACGTTTACAGTAGAATTCATGAACCAGGAGTTGGAAAACTGCAGTTTTTGGTGGAGCAAGTATTAGGATTAAATGTGTCTTTAAGAGATGAGGGCAAAGCACTGACCTCAGATCTGTGGCATGTTGGTAAATATCAGCTGTAAAATTCATTCTTATTTGGCATTTGTACTAAACAGTGCTGGGGTCGATGGTTTGATACCCAGTCTTTCTGTATAACATTTGTATGTTCTCAGCTGGTACTTCAAGATTTGTACCAGCAGAGAACATATTGGGGTTTGGGACGGGAGTCGGGGCCCACCACTACTCCAAAGAGGATTGAGTTGTACAATATGGATTGATGAATATACACATGTCAGGAATCTTGTCAGTCATGTCATTAAGTCAGTTAATCATTTGAATAGTTCTGTGGAGCATTATTGTTGTCAATCACCTTTAAATCTTTTTTTGCAATGAAAAAAAACCAAAACATTTTTTGGAAGATTCTAACTAAGGACTAACTGATCCTCCGTGAGGAAACTGGTCCGGCCTGTTCCCCTCTGTGAGAAACTCATGAAAAACATTTCATACTGTGGCCAAACATGAGGCTCCCACCTCCAGGTACGGGATGATCCTGCAGGAGAACTCTCCCAGCAGCCACTTCTTCGTCAAAGCGTGAAACACCACCAGAGGCAGACAGAAGAAAATGACAACGAAGTCCCACAGGGCCAGGTTGGCCAGCAGGGAGTTAGAGATGCTCCTCATGTAGTAGTTGTGACACACGATGCACATCACCGACAGGTTCCCGATGATCCCGACACTGAAGATGACGACGGCGAGGATCAGCACCGTGTATGCGCCGTAGGACTCCGCGTGGTTCTCCTCTTCATAGTCACTGGCGTTAAGTCCGAATGAAGGACCCGCGTCTTGCTCCTGGGCCATGGCAGAAGGCAGGTTCTCCAACACACCCGCGGCACCGTTCGACATTGTTCCAATGCGAGTCACAGTTTGGACGTTTGCACCGCGTCTCCGCCGCCGCTTGTGTCTGGTTCTCCTCGACACACCAGCTTCGCTTCTTTTCGTGCGTAAAGTTCCCACTTTGGGTGCAGCTCGGGGGCGCTCACTGCCAAAATGCGCATCATTTGTGCGCCGGTGAACCTCATCCAGCAGATGCTCAGGTGACAACACGTTGACACTTTCCGTCCATGACGCTGGTGAACTTAGCGTCCCCTCACTGGCCTCCCCACCGAACGTGCGCCATCCCTGGGTCTGCGCATTCCTTTCAGCGGCGGTGGACTTGTAATGAGGACTTAAAGTCGTCTTTGTTTTGTGCCAGTACAGATGAGCCGCCACGGCCTCGCTGCACAGCCACAGACACAGCAACTTCAGAGGTGGAGGCGGCATCGCGAGGCTCCGTCTAACCCTTGAACGTGAACCAAAGTAAACTAGAGAATAAACGGTCCATGTCCGAGCTCAACAAAACACTCCAAGAGGTGTGTGGTACTCTGTCATCGTCCTGCGTCAACAGCACTAATAAAGTAGATAACATGTTCGATTCCGGTGTCTCCAGGAGCGGCTCGGGTCTGAAGACATCACCAGAGAGATGAGACCCCAAAGACACAGTGAGTTCAAAATGTCCTGGAAACACTGGAGCAGAGCTCCATCTTATCAGCAGCAGCAGCACAGACGCCGTCCGTGATCTTAGACGGAGACGTTTCGGATCTTAAGGAAAGTTTCTCCTCATCAAGATGCATTTGAGCTGCTGGAGGTTGGTGATAAGGAGAGACCCGACCAGAGGAGAGGCAGAGCTCCGAGTGACAGCCGGGAGAGCAGTCGAGGGATGGGCGGAGGAGGAGGAGGAGGAGGATGGGAGGGAGGTCTGGGGGGGCAGAGAAAGGGATCTGTCATCTGTCAATGATGTGCAAATACTCTGAAGTACTTCTCATGACTTACACGGATTAATGTCAATTTTTTTTTTTTTTAAAAAAAGGAAAATTAATAACCGTACATGTGTATTTGTTATCAGTGAACAACGCAGGCATCGGTATCGGTACAGTTTAGTTTAGTTAAACTGAGTTATGACGTGGTAGCAACAATTCCCCAATGCATTTATTTATTTATTTCATCTGTGTGAAACTATTTTAAACTACATCAGATTCAGCCTCCATCGTCGTTAACACTGGATAAAGATAAAGATTTGAGTTTAACATTGTTAGCAGTATGCAGCTCTGCAGAATATCGAGAAATCGATACAACGGTTAGTGCAGCTTAATCGTGAACAACTGTCGCCAACAGACTGAAAATGTTGTGAACAAAATAACTAAACGTACGTGCAGAATAGTACCAATGTGCTGCAACTACATTTATAGCGACCCCTACAGGCGAGGAAAAACACTAAAGTACTTTTTCCTAAAAATATGACGTAGCATTTTCCTTTGCTTCTGCCTTTCCTTTTGGTGGCAGCACAGATGACCAACAGCCCAGATAATGATGTTACTGGACATTCAGTTTATTTAGTTCAGAAGCAGGAGTTGAACTGAGCTGCAGACACAGGTGTGGATGTTTCTCAGGATGAAATATTATAAAGGCA